TTTGAGATCAGGGCTTCCTGAGGGCCAATCCGAGGCAGAGATGAACTCTGGAATGTTCTTGTTCAGCCACTGCTGATTTGACCTGCCCTTGTTGAGTTCGCCCGGAAGATTAGAACACGCTTCCGTACGCAACATGAGCTTAATATAATACGGACTCTGGCTATATAGTTTTCATAAATGCTATTGCTGTTATTATTTAATATTTAATTGTATAGATTACAGCGATATAAATATTTAAATATGTATGTATAACGTACTTATTATACAAATAAAAATACCCACAATGAAATATAAATAAATATAGCGTCCATATTTTTTTATTTTCACCCCCCTCCCCCTTCTCTGAAAATACCTTTTTCTGCTAAGAAGAGGTTGATAAGCGAAAATTGTTTGATGCGCTCACTACACTAGATTTTTGATTCTATCTATTCATCTGCTTTTTACCTTACACGTGATCTTTTGCCTTTTATTAAGGCATCGATTGTTATGTAGAGGCTTCCAGATGGATTGCTACGCGTTACATTCCCCGCCCCATCTTAATCTCATTGCCTACATATGGAATATTGATTGACCAGTTCCTGTAAGAAATTCTTTATCGGCCTTTCTTCTCTATGTGTTTTTGTTATCTATAAAATAATAATTAAATTTATGTTGTGTTATTATGCATTCCCGTCCTGTAACATTTACCACTTCAAATGAAATAACAATTTTCTATCTCCGAATTCTTAGAGGCTGTAGGTGTTTGCTGGAGGGAGTGCTAAGATTGCAATCATGTACGAATTCCCCTTTTATGTTGGGAACACAATAAGAGCTCCCCTTCCTTTGTATACTTCTAGCTCTTCATTGCATTCTGTTACCATCCTCTTCTGCCACAGAATGTTCTCGGTCCAATAGGAGTTGGCTGCAACGGAATCTCATTCAATTAAAGAATACTTTCTTGTTCAATATTGGTTTTCGTTTATAAATTTTCATTTAATCAATAGTATTTAATAATAATATTTTGAAAGGTATTATATAATTTTTTTTTATAAAATATTAAGCCAAAGGTCACCAAAAGTACACAGTTGTTACATCCTGTATTATTTATTTGATGTTTCGAATTCAGGAGCCAATTTCAAGATCCTGCAAACTAATTTTAATTCATGAAGAGAAGAATAGTTGGGGTGATCAGTCAAATAAATGATACTATTTATTTTGACACAAGTAGTGTAGGTAATTTTTTTACCTACGCTACTTATGTTTATCATACCTTGTTATCTGTTTCTTTTCTTATCCCTGATGAAGGCCTGAACTTCAGGTCGAAACGTCGGCTAATGTCAAAATAAATAGTATCATTTATGTTTGCCTTCTTATATGACTGATCACCCCAACTATTCTTCTCTTCATTATTCACGACAGTCAACTATTTACCAATTATAATTTTAATTCAGTTGTTCATAGTTCAAAATACATACTTATAAAACACATATTAATTTAACAACTATCAGTTGTATAAATAGTCCAAATTCTAATTTATAAAAAAAATCGTATCATCTACCTACCATATACCACTTCATAAAATTACTAAAATGGATTATTTTAATATAATTTGTCTTTTAGTCATTCTTTTATTTCATCGATTGTCGTTTTTTCACTTCTAAAAGTTATAATAAATAAATAATTAATTAGAATGTTAAAATTTTTTTTCACTAACGCGTGAGGAGGAACATTTTTAATATCGTCTACGAATGAGGTACATAAATTGATAGATAGAAATTTTTATTTGTTTTTAGGGGTTCCCCATACAAATAGGGCCTAGCTTGACTATTGTACCGAACCTGAATGATATGACTAGAGTATTATATAATGTTAAAAATTAAAGTAAATGAAGTGGGGTGGGGTTACAGTCTTATGAATTTGAAAAAAAATCTGGTGCACGCAACTTTCACTTACGGCTCTACTTTGAATTGAAATTATTTTCTGGCAATGTTGGGTTGTTATAAAATTTTTGAAGTGAAATTTTAACCTAACTAAAGCTCAAAGCTTACTGCTTACAAATCATTATTGCCAATTAAATAACAATATTTCCTATTTATCATATCAACGGTTGATTAACGGATTGTACGATTATAAATTATTAAAATGTTTCCATTGTAAAGTTGACTTAAATGGAATTGCGAGATTTGAATTGTCTTTCATAGGTGGTTTAAAAGACGTCAGACTAATTGTAATTGGATACTGTTGGGATATCACAAAGGGAAAATTCATCAAATTGTTCAGTAGTTTAATTTTCTAATAGTTTGCATGATCCATGATTTTGAAATAAAGGGATAATGGATGCCTAATTATTTAAATATAAAATCAGATGTAGAGTTATTAAACTACTGTAAATGTATTTAAGGTTATTAACATACCTTTAAAATATTTGTATATTTCACTTCTTTCATACAAGTACAAGTAAATAGTTTTTTTTAACCTTGTCATTGCTAGTGTTGTCCAAAATCGGTCTTGGTCTTGCAAAGTGCAAGACCAAGACCAAGGACGCCTAACTGTTACAAGACCAGGACCAGGACTGGTAATTAAATATTTATTTCCAGTATTTTATAATAAATGTTCATTTTTCTTTTGTTAACATTATAATATAAAAACAATAAATGAGAAAGAACGATAAAGAATTATTTACAGAAGGTGGTCGATCAAGATCTCATTGTATGAAGGCATTGAGGTTAAGATGGGCGTAACAGTTAGCGCGGGGTAATTCATGAGGAAGCCACTAGAAAACAATGGATGCCTCAAACACCTGCCTAGGCAAGTGACAACGTCAAAGGCCAAAAAACAGGTGCAAAGATTGAACAAAGATCAACAACTATCAACAAAGATCCAATAGAACTGCATGCAATACCAAGAGCAAGCTGGTTAAAAAAAAAAATCGATTTTTTAAAAACAAATTAAGGCACAATAGTTACTAATACTAGACAATCTTAGTTACTATATGTTAATAATTGGTATAGCCAATATACTTTTGCATTTAACTCCTCTAATTTTTCATTCGGGCTTAGTTAGGTTTTTCCTATCTGAAAAAATGTAATAATATCTCTATACCAATAAGCTCATAAGTAACTGCAAGACTGTTGCGACACTCTTGCGCAAGACCAAGACCATGGCCAAGACTGAGTTTGCAAAACCAAGACTCATTTCGGTCTCGCATTTGGGCAACACTATTCATTGCCTTGATTCGGTAGATTTTAAAAGTTTACATTTATTTCTCTCGGAAACATGTCGCTTTCGAAACAATCACCGAATAATTTAAGATATCAAGCTTTTTTTTTTTTATTGAGCCGTTTGCTCTAAAAATCGTTTCATATCTTTTAGCAAATCGATTAAGTATCATTTATTTAATAACGGTTCAGTATTTTTAGCTCAAATTGTTTTAAGATCTTTCCGAATAATTTTACCCATCAAACTTTAGAATCGATCAAGCTGTTCGAAAAAAAAAAGTTATTAGCAGTGAGAGCAGTTGTAAAAAATGTTTCCATCTTATTGTATCCTGCCAAGAACTCAGAGATGTATTAGATATTTTTCCTTACAAATATATGAGAATAAATTTAATATACTATAAATAAATATAGGCACAGAAGAAATAAATAAAACGTGATTTTTAACGCTTAATTTTATCTGGATAATAATATATTTATTTTGGTCTCTTAAAGCAGTTTCTGAATTGTGGAAATGGTCCAATTCGGTTTTATGAATAAAGCCTTTCATTGGCTCAGCCTTTGTGCCTATTTATATTGTGATACCATCCTGTATTTTTTTTATTTATTTATTTTTTTTTTATAATGGTATCCGCTATTAAACATGAACTTTTTGGGGAGTAATGTAGTGTAGTAAATTCGATTTTTATATGTCCAGAATAAAATTTAAATTCTTGATTTTTTTTTAGCCTTATATTTTTAGAAGTATAATAATAATTAATAAATTTTTACTCCTGTATTTTTCTAAAATAACATTCTTGTGCACTGTACCCAAAGACCTTTGGTCTGATGACTATCAGAGGAAATGGAGGAGCATTGTTTATCCTATTCAGACCCCATTAAGGGGATTCCAAGGGTGTTATTTTTTTTTCCCCCTCTACAGTTCGGCGACCCTCTTTCTGTGATACGAGTTGAAATTCTGTGTACAGGCATATTAATAAAACTTTTCTTTTAGTTTAAACTTCAGCACATCTCTACAGTAAAGTTAGAAGGTTGATTGAAGTTTGAAATAGAAATTAAATTGGTTTTCGAGAAGGGCCTTTTGTGAGTGTTAACTTTTTTTATTTTTTTTTTATTTTATCTTCTCTCTAAATACTATTCATCTCCTTCCTTAAATCCATATCCTTCAGCAAATCCTTCAACATTCGTTCTTCCACCATTTGAAACTCCTGGCCCATCTCTGTAGGCCAATCCTTTTACACGAATTTATTTATTATTATTATTATTTTTTTTTTTTTTGTTCATATTAAATTCTGGGCACGAGATTTAAACTCGTAGAATAAAGTTTTTGCAGGCGTCCTAACTCGCTCGACCGCTGCGGCCCAATTTTATCAATATTAAAGATGTTAAATTTAAATAATAGTAGATTGGTGGTTGACTGTAATACAAATTGAAGAGAAGTTGGTTGGAATGTTCATTACAAAAAAAAATAAAAATAATTAAATACTATTTATTTTTGCCGACGTTTCGGCCCAAATCTGCGCCACTGCTGAAGGAACGAAAAGTTCCTGTAAGATCATTTTAATAAATGAATGAAAAAAAATGGCATGCTCTTAACTTAAAAATATCAGCCAACGTCTGTGGAAATTTACATCTCAGTGTTTTGTAAATTGTTCCTATTGGGCTAAATGTTGAAGGTTGATAGTGGAGAGAGGACCAGGCTGTTATTGCCCTAATCTCTCTGGTATTATGTTGATGCTTATCCCCTCCCATCTCCACTAAATGGCGGCCATTATGGTCTGCCCGCACCTGTACCTGTACCTGTTCCTAACTGACAACAACTGCCGTTCCAACAGGAAGTGGACAACTGCTGTTTGAGGCAGTTTGGTCTCGCCTCTGGTCTGGCCTTCTTGATTATATCTAGCACCGCCTTCTGAATATTGTGTTCTAATAGTTCTTGCGAAATTACTTGGCTCATTAATTTTGGTTAAAGTTTCCACTAAACTAAAAATTCTAATAAGAAGAAGTTAAACAAAAACTGATATTGTCGGTGTAAGTAGTAACGAATTCGTCGAGACATTGTGGTATTTATATATCTGAGTTTTTCAATAACTAAAGAGAGAAAAAATAATCTAAATAAAAAGTCCGAATACAGGAATATTTCTATCGGTCCTGAAGAGATTACTAATGTAAATATGAACACCGAGAAATTAAATTTACTTTAAGAAGCAAACGAAACTCAAAATTGTGCAGAATAGTGTACTATAAACTTATACGTGAATTTATTAATTATTTACGAAATTTTCGTGTAAATTGCAGGATATTTGAATATATTTCATATTTCACTATAGTTTTACCATAAATTACATTTCATTTTGTCAGTCATTAAATCCTCGTTTTCAAACTCCAGGACTGTTTATATCAAAGAGTGTCAAACTTTAAAGTAGTTCCTCTCCTTACCCCATAGCTTCCAAACTGTTTTTGTTCCTAATAAATCCTCTTTCTCCTCCTATTCGAAGAACAAGAGGTGTTAAACTGGGTCCAAAGACCTATTTCATTACCATCCGTTTTAGGCACCTCCTTATTTCTCTATCTCACTATCGCTTACTTTACCTTAATAATCGACCTATTTTTTTTTTTTTTTTGTTTTGGTTCGTCTGTAAAATCCTCGTAGTTACTTAACTCGAAATAGCCATATTTCTCAGATCATCCGAAATCCACATCTGTCCTTATAAAAATTCCTTATACTCCATTAGTCCATTCCTCAGAATACACGGCAGCTGTATTTAAGACCCGCTTCGAAATATAAATGTTTAAATATTTGTAAACGACGAAAGCGTTACCAGAATAACCCACGAATATCACTGAAAGGTTCTATAATTGCTTATGTAGAAGATCACAGGGATCGAGTTCGTCAATTCTTCATCAAATTCAATGATTAACCACTCATTTTGAAGATATTCAAATTGAAATGATCTTACTGGAACTTTTCGTGGGATCAGCCGTGAAGAAGACCTGAACTTTAGGCCGAAACGACGGCAAAAATAAAAATAAATAGTGGAAGAAGATGGTCCGGGGTGCCGGTCATAAATAGGCTAAATAGTGGCAAAACTATTTAATTAAAAGCCTACGTTTCGACCCAACCTGACTTGACGAGTGAACACACCTGAAAAGCTGAACACACCTTCCTGAAGAAGACCTACAAAGTCGTGTCGAAACGTTGGCTTTTAATAAAATAGTTTTGCCACTATTTAGACTATTTATGGCCGCCACCCCGGACCATCTCCTCCCTTTATAATGCAACGGTCAACTATTAAATATTCAAAAATGAATATTATTTATTTTTTTTTTTTGGAATGAACACCCTAACCAACTTTTTTTCAATTTTTATTAAATCAACCTATTAACTACTATTATTTAAATTTAACATATTTAATATTAATACAACTGGGCCGCAGTGGTCGAGCGAGTTAGGACGCCTGCAAAAACTTTATTATACGAATTTAAATCTCGTACCCAGAATTTAATATGAACAAAAAAAAAATAATAAATTCTCCTTCTTCACATGCTAAAAATAGTCCTATCCCTCCAAATTTTCCAGGAAAAAAAGTTATAAAGGAAAAGAAACTTTATTTGTGAAAAACTCAAAAAATATACATTTCTTTCTCATTTCATTCAATTTCTTTCTGGATTGTACAAATCATTAAATAATCAGAAAGATTACTGAATTACCTTTAACAAAGACACAGTCCATTAGTTCTGGTATACCTAATAATGTCTTCCTGTTTAAAGATATTGCATTTAGGAGTAGAATAGTATACTACACTTTTTTTCCTAGCTGATATATTAATTTGAATATTTCTTCATATTATTTCTTAAAGATATTTGTTTGTTCCTACATTTTAGTTATTTTTTAATAATTTAGAAAATCCCATGATCGAGGCTTTTTTTTGTGTATTTATTACTTTTATTATCTTTCCAGTCAGCGTTTAAAAATAGATCATAGCAAAGCAATTTGTACAAATTTTTTACTCTGTTATGTTTAATGGAGTATTGTAATAATCGACCAAGGAAAAAACATTAATTCCTTCCTTACGTAATACATAGGATCTACTTATTTCCAAATTGTATTTCTACTCTGAACAAAATTTTCTGTGAATTATTCGCAAGGGCCAACTAGTTAGTTATCTATTTTCTTTAATGCATTTGAGGATATTTGTAAAGTTCTGATCTGGGATCACAGGAGCACACTGTAGGTAATAGTGGAGCATGGCGATAAGGGATTGAGGAGGGTTAGCCACTGAGTCTGAGTGGGAGAAACCAGCTTTAGATTGGGGAGTTAATCACACCAGCGCTGTTTGGATCTAGGAGAGGAAAGTAGGGTAGGGCAGAGTAGGTAGCTACTGATAAAGAAAGGGAACGGTTTAATGATCTGGGAAATTACTTGTGGTCTCGAGGAAGGAATGCTGTGCTCTACCTCTGGGAGGAAATTCTAAAATGGTCCGTATCTCGTTTAGGGAATTAACAGGAGTATGCATTGCTATGTAGTGCGAGGTGGATACCTATACTTATCCACAATTTGAACTTCTGTCATAATTGATATGAGCGGCTTCATATCTAAAGGGGACCCTACACGGTCAATCGGAATTGCACTAATGACGTTCCGAATTGTCGTGTAAGGTTGTGAATGAAGTACTGATGGTGGTGCGCTGCGGATTTCCGAACATCCGGAAATCAAAGGTTCATTCACGAGAAGTGGAGGGGGGACAGAGGTAAAAGTAGTGGGGAGACTAACCATACTGCTGGATAGGTTAGGTTACCTAGGCCTCACAACCATTATACATTTCTTATTTTCATTATATGTAAATAGTTAAATAATTTTTCATATCCCTTGTTTATAATTTAAAACCATCTTCAACTATTTCTTTTAAATAGTCAAGTGGGCAACAAATTAAAAAAAAAAATTGAGGAAACTTCACAATTTACTTTAGGAAAAAAAAACTTTAACGTTGTATATATTTATCAGTTCTTTTCCCATTTTCCTCAACAAATTTATTATTTTCGCAATACCTTTCCTTAATTTTTGTAAGTAGTAGACTTATATTTTACTAACTTTTGTCAAAACGATATGAGACTAACCTTACTACTAGATAGGTTAGTTTACCTAGGTCTCGTTATTAAGTAAATAATTTCATAAAAGTAAATAGTTGTTTATATCCCTAGTCTATATTATTATTAACCATTTTCAACTATTTTTTCTTTAAATAGTCAAGTAGGCAATAAATTGGAGAGAAAAAAAAGTGGAAAATTCACATAAGTAATGATCAGTAATGATTGAACGTGTAAGGCTCTTCATGATCAAAGCGATAGCGGGCAATCTTGGAACTTCTTCTGACGTTCATTCATGGATTACCGTGTAGGTCTGCTTTAAAGGGATATCTATCATTTGCAGAAATTGGAGAAAAAATAAATTTTTTTATTTATTATTTTCTAAAATCAACCTAAGTAATCCATGAAAAAAATAATTAACCCCTCCTCTAAATTTGAGGCTTATTTGGAACTCGACTTTACCGTCCGCCCTTTCCCATCAAGATGGCGACCGAAAACCTGCACCTGTAGAGCCTAAACGAATGTACCGATTTCGGTGAAACTTTGCTAAAGTCTCCTTCGAATTCCTTTGAATTTATCTGTATTATGATTTTGCGATTGCTTATGTTAATTTAAAAAATTTCGAAATTTCTAAAAAAAAAAAATTAATCGTCAAATCGTATGATTTTATGCAAATATATAGCGTTGTGAATATTTTCCGCACGTTTATCTACGAAGCTGATATCCTTTGTTTCATTTTTGGAATGCAAACATTATATTAAATACTTACATCGCCGTATACCTGTACCACTACAACCCATGTTAGAACTATTTCTTGGTCGACGGTTGTGCAAGGAGGTGATGTGACCGAGATCACGCTCTATCGCCAGGTTTTTCCCCTTAATTAATTATTTAAATTAAGGCTACCCACTTTATAAGAGACTGGGTGTGCCCCATGAAGGTCTACCTACCCAAGGTCGCATCACGGCCAATGAAACAGAATAAATAATTTTTCTGCTATGAGCCGAGATTCGAACCTGGGACCTTTAGTAGTGGTAGGGTACTGAGCTACCTCACTCCATTGCCGTGTATATTTCATAGCAGGTCATTCATGACGAAGAAAAGAAATCTTTAGCCCTATATTACGGATCATCATTAATTTAGTTTTTTTTTGTGTGATAAGGAATGTTTTGTTACACGTGATATATAACTGTTTGAAAATAATAAATCGTTTTATTTATTTCTGTTCAACTAATAAATATGCTACAATTTAACGGCAGAACAGGTTCAATAAATCAAATATTTTACGAGATACAGATTTTCAAATATCAGAAAATTTTATTTTGCGATTAAATAATTTGTCTGGTTTGATCATAAGCTATAGTATTTTATAAACGATGGAGATGGTCCGGAGTGGCGGTCATAAATAGGCTAAATAGTGGCAAAACTATTTTATTAAAAGGCGACGTTTCGACCCGACTTTGCAGGTCTTCTTCAGGGAGGTTTGTTCAGCTAGGAGTTTCACTTAGAACTGTGAAAAAATTCAAAACTCCTAGCTGAACACACCTCCCTGAAGAAGACCTGCAAAGTCGGATCGAAACTTTGGCTTTTTATAAAATAGTTTTACCACTATTTATGACAGCCACCCCGGACCATTTCATTCCTTTAGAATGCAACGGTCAACTATTAAATATTCAATATATTCCTTTTATCTTCAATAACCTGTCTGATATGAGTGAGCGAAGTAAATATTTATTCATTTTAATATTTTTAAGGGGGGATTATAGAGGGGGGAAAGATTTGATGGAAGAGTGTAGTCCTTGTGCCAGACCCCCCTTCCGTGTACCCCCCTCCCTCACCCTTCACATCACTATAAATTGCATATCGTTGTGTTCCTTGTACTACCTATAAGTGAATCGGGTCATTCTAGCTCACTTATTTTATCTATTGGAGAGAAGAATAGTTGGGGTGATCAGTCAAATAAGAAGGCAAAAATAAATGATACTATTTATTTTGACATTAGCCGACGTTTCGACCTGAAGTTCAGGCCATCATCAGGGCTGATTACAGAGATGTAAATCTACATTTTACATCTCCGTAATCAGCCCTGATGATGGCCTGAATTTCAGGTCGAAATGTCGGCTAATGTCAAAATAAATAGTATCATTTATTTTTGTCTTCTTATTTGACTGATCACCCCAACTATTCTTCTCTCCATTATTTACGACAGGCAACTATTTAACCAATATTATTTTATCTATTATTTATAGCTCTTATTATTTACTGCCATTCCTATATCCATGTATCATACTCCTTCAAAATAATAACGGAAATGCATTTTTCTTTTTTGTCAGGCGAAAAATCCATGATAGTAAACCTGTTTAGGTACCAATGTTTTCATCATTCATTAAAATATTGTTAGTTACTCTTTTTTTCTTCAAGATTATATCAGATTTATATTTTAAAAAAAGGTATATCAGCATTTCTTTTATCCATTATTTAATAATGGATGCCCTAATTACCGAGGCCCACTCCTTTCGAAACAATACCTTTCCAACCGGAAGCGAATGCCGTGAAATACTTTCACAATGGCTACCTAGAAAGCTGAGCCCGCTTTGAAATAGTTAGCCCTCCGCCGCTGCAACACAATAGAGAGCGCTTCCGCGGCGGTCGTTAACCCATCGCCGGTCCAGATCTAGCCGGGGATCATATCCTGGGGTAAAGAGGTGATCCTGGAAGACGATGTTAATCCAGAAGGACACGACGGAGGATGTACGGCAACGATGGCGCTCGCTATAACTCAGTGGAGCGGGCACACAGGATCCGTAATGCTGGGATGCCGGGTTGGAGTCCCGCCAGGCGTAGAGACTATTCGCGGACGTTGTGAAAAATAAGTTACTGCCGCCTTGGATGATTCAGAAGCCAGATCAACAAGTGACCGCGTGGTCGCATTCCTGTTCAACTCGTTTTGTCTGTGTATTAAGGCTTAATGGCATAGTTGCAGAAGTCGGAGGGGAGAGGGAAAACGAGGCGAGCGATTGCATCCTCCCAAAAAAAAAAAAAAAAAAAAAATAAAAAAATAGGGAGGTGGTAAGAATATCGTTTCGCCCCTCACAATATTGCGAAGTAAAAATAAAATAGAACTCGATTACAATTAAATGTAGATTAGTATCTACATGAATAATGAAATTTTCATACTAAAATCGAAAAAAAATCTGGTGCCCGCAACACACAATTTTCACTTTCCGCTCTACTTTGAATAAAAATTAGTTTCTGGCAGTACTGGGCTGTTATAAATTTTTTTGAAGTGCATTTTAAACGGAGCTAAAGCTTAAAGCTTACAGATAACAAGTCATTAAGACCATTATTATTACAAAATGTATATTTAATATATCGACGACAGGCAATAAATGAATATTTATTTATTTGGCAGAAAATACATGCTTTTTTTTATTTACTTACAAAATTTTCCTATTCACAATTCCATTTACCTTAACATGGTGCTACCTTGGCCATAAAATAAACAAAAAACTAAGACTAAACAATAAAAATAAAATCAAAACAAAATAAACAATATAAAGATGAATCCTGGATTAGTGTCCCCGGGTATCACAAGCATTAAGATAGTCACTCCATCTGCTTTTATAAACCATAAACAACTTTCTTTGATTTTATAAACCACAGAATGACTAACTCCAATTTCAACATTTTTGAGTAATGTCATTTTAGTGATATTTTTAGTTTAAAAAGTTATCTATGCAGACAGTTAGTAAGTTGATTCCGGAGGTGGTGAAGTATAGAACTGAGAATAATGGTATAAATTTAGGTTCTTCTTTCTTATGAAAGACCGACAAAAAAGTGTATACTTTTTGAGTTATTCGGAATTTAATTTTACCATCCCTCGTAACTTTTTTCCCAGCTTCTTTTCGTTGAAGTATGTTATATAGATAAATTTAAAGGATGTCGAGAAAATGACTTAAACAAAGTTTCATTGAAATTGGTACATTCGTTTAAGCGCTACAGTCTGTAGCAACGCAGGTTTTTCTGCATTTTTATTTATTTTTCTCCTTTATTAACTTATCAAATTCTTTCAAAAGTTTTATGTAGCATTTTTTCGTAACTGTGAATAATGCGAAATGATTAACTTTTTATAACAAACCATATTAAAAGGTACTTTAGAGGAAGACATGTATGAAAATTGGGCTTTTAAGCTCTGTAAAGTGACATCAACGGGAATAAGACCTAAATGATATTAAAGACCACTTAATTATACAATGATACACCTAGTTTAATCAAAATCGTTAGAGCCGTTTTTGAGAAAATTGTAAAAATGTGTTTCCGCGTTGATATAAAGTGGCACTTCCGGTTAGCCGATTTTAACGAAAAAGTTGCTGTCACATCCGGCCCATACACAAACCTAAATACTTAATATCAGTTTCGTACTACTTTT